GGAGCAGGTTGGGAACACAGTAGGGGGCGCTCTCCTCTAGCAGTCTGGGCTGACCCCAGTCCTCCCGCTGGCTGACAAAAGGTCTGTGCTGCAGCGTATGAGGTTCTCTCCCTACAGTGAGTGACGCTCACAATTCCCCAGAGCTGAGCTAGGGGGCATGAGCTGCAGAGGGTGGTGTGTGGTGCACAGTGAGAGGCCCTCTCCCCGCTCTGATCCCCCACCCCTCCCTGGCACAATGGGGTGCTGGGTAAGCATGGATCCCAGCTGTGGGACTTGGTGTCAAACAGAGCTTGCAGACACTCCTGGGGACTAGAAACCCAGGTCACTTTGTCAAGAGTTGGGCTAATAGCTCAACTATGCTGGACAATTTGCCCCACAGATAATTACTCCTGAACTTGTAACGTCCCCCACAGCTCTGACTGGACAAACATTTCCCCTACTTCCTGTCATGCACAGTCACCATATTTCTGTGCCCTGACTCTCAGCTGCCCAGTGCCACCCCAGAAGTGGCAGCATGTCAGTGGTGGGGACTAAGCCCTTGACATGCAGTGGCTGTGTGAGGAGGCCAGTCACACGCATGAATGGTAGGCAATACAGTCATCAGAATCACTTGTGATCAGACGCACAGGAATCTCCTTGAGTATTTATTGCATTTGCAGACTCGATCATTCCAGACCCAGGTCCTCTTCAACTGGTGAACGGCTCCAATCGCTGCGCTGGGAGAGTCGAGGTGCTTCATAACCATCAGTGGGGAACCGTGTGTGATGATGGCTGGGACTTAACTGATGCTGGAGTCGTGTGCAGGCAGCTGGGCTGTGGGACGGCGTTATCAGCCCCAGGCGGGGCTCGATTTGGGAGAAGTTCTGACACTATCTGGCTGGATGAGGTTAACTGCACAGGGACAGAAGCTGCCCTCACCGAATGCAGGGCTCGGCCTTGGGGAGACAATAATTGTCACCACGGAGAAGATGCCGGTGTTGTGTGCTCAGGTAACCCTCCTCCGTCACATCACTGGGACTGCTTCCTGGAACAGGCTGGGAAGCTTTCAGCACAGTCCCTACTTCCCTGTCTGAGCCAGTGCTGACCCTAGTGTCTCAGCGAGGTGCTGGGGGGCTGTGCTGCAGGGAGAGGTGTATGTGTCCCTGTGAGAGACCTTCCGCCGTCTCTGCCCGCTCCAGTTCCAGTGTCAAGCTATGGCACAGTCTGGCCCTCTGTAGCCATTGGTCCCCCCAGTCAGATTCAGTGTCAGCTGGAGCCTGTAGCTGTTCACTGGGAACCCTGGGTCACTTTGCCAAGCATCAGGCTCCTGACCCCAGTGTCCCGGGAAATTGGCAACTTAACTAATGTTACCCTTGGCGTAGATGGGATTGGACATTGTCAGAGCCAGTAACACGGCGGTGTGGCCTAGTGGTCAAAGACAAGGTGGCATCGGGATCACAGTTGGAAATCACACAAAATATGAAAGCCAGAAACGGAGTCTGAAGCCTTGTCCAAGGTCAAGCCACAGTCAGAGTTGGTCTCTGGAGTTAGGCTGAGGAAGCAGGAACAAGGGGCAGTAATGGGAGCAAGGAGCAGGCACAGGGCCAGGCAGCAGGAGCCAGGAACAAGGGGTGGTAGTGGGAGGAAGGAGCGGGAACCGGGCGAGGAGGCAGGAACCTGGTCCCTGGGGTCTGGCCAGCAGCAGCCTTAGAAACGAGTTGCTCAGACAAGGGGTAGGATGGGAACAGGAAGCTTTACACCTGGAGGTGTCCAATCAGCAGTCTGCTTCTAGTCACCTGCCTGTGGTGGGTGGGCCTCTGCTGGTGGACCATTAGCTACTATTCCCTCATTTCACCGTGATGTGACGGGTAAAGCTGTAGTTCGGCAACGTCGTGGACCTGGGTTTGAGACCTGTAGTGCATGGGAGATGCCTAATTCTTTCCAATTTCCTGTATAAACAGCTGGGCCAACTTTGCCTAGCATGTCTCTCAGCTGCCCTGATTCACCCCAGAGGTGGCAGCATGTCAGTGGTGGGGAGTGAGCCCTTGATGGGTATCTGTTGTGTGGACCTGTAAGTGGGAAGCGCTACATTCTCCATTGTCACTAGTGATCACATGCACAGGAACCTTCCTGAGTGTTTATTCCCTTGGGGTGTTTGCAGACTCAGGCATTTCAGAAGTGGCTCAACTCCGACTTGTGAACGGCCCAAGTCGCTGCGCTGGGAGAGTCGAGGTGCTTCACAACCAGCAGTGGGGAACCGTGTGTGATGACAACTGGGATTTAACTGAGGCCAGAGTCGTGTGCAGGCAGCTGGGCTGTGGGACGGCGTTATCAGCCCCACGCGGGTCTCGGTTTGGACAGGGACCTGACCGTATCTGGCTGGATGAGGTAAACTGCACAGGGACAGAAGCTGCCCTCTCCGAATGCAGGGCTCGGCCTTGGGGAGAGCATAACTGTAACCACGTAGAAGATGCTGGTGTTGTGTGCTCAGGTAAGCCTCATCTCTTCTGGCATGGTGGGTGCTGCAGGGAGTGGATTAGGAAGCTTTCAGTGTAGCCCCTGGTTCCCCATCTGAGTTCCTGTGCCCCAGCATTGTGCTATGGGCCTGTACTGAAGG